CACTTCTATGGACTATCTTTTATGACCCTATGGTCTCAGCAATTTCTAGTTACCCCAGGCATCAAGAGATCACACATAACATTCTTACTTACATGGACGATGTTCTCCTAATGGCACAATCCTTAAAGCAACTACAAGAGCTTACGGATATATTCTGTTCCTTCCTCTCTCTGAACAACATCAAATGCAATTCGAATAAAACAACACTCATCACTACACTAGCTGACAAACACCCTCACAGAGATGCAGGCTTGAAAGTAATGGAATCAGTGGTTAATCCTCTCAGTAGCAAGACTCCCCTCCACTACCTAGGCAATTTCTTCGCAGGAAACTCAAACAAAAGTATCTTTAGCTGACCCAGTATCGAGAGCATGCATCAGATTATAGAAGCATGCCACAAACAAAAATGGAATGGCCCAATAACTAAACAGGTGCTAGATTGGATCATTCCCAGCAAACTTGACTATGCTTTCCTTTTAAGCTCCCTTTCCAAAGATCATATACAAAATCTTCAGACCAAAGCAAACAACCTAATCAAAAGAAGGCTAAGAGTAGGTAAAACCATATTGGATAAAATAGCATATTCACAAGCTGGCCTCAACCTTAAAAACTTCTTAGACAGACAAGACCTCACACTAGCAAAGCTTCTAATAGCGAAGCTAAGCAACATTAAAATGTAAGAAGCCATAAAAACAGAAATCAATTCTCTCCAAATCTGCTATGCCATTTGGCTCTGCCCATTATGCTATCTGGAAGTGTTCCTAGAAACATGAATCACACAAGCAGCAGCATTATGTAAAAAGTATCAAATTAACATATGTCCAGCCAACTGCCTATTCAATCATGCTAAAGGTCAGCAATTCCTGGGGCTGCATTTTCTCTTTAAAAACAAGTACTTGAGATGTCAAGCCTTAGGTTTGTATAGAGGCAATATAAGGTTTCTAGAGGACTTACTAGTATTCCGAACAAACAGCAAATTGTCCTGGCACGAGTTTAACATACACTTCTGCCCAACTCCAAAAGGACCTATTTCTAGTTGGTTCATCAATATCAATATCACACCCAGTTATAAAGGTACCTCAACATGTATCCCCAACACAAAGGCCAGATTCTGGGCTCATATATTTAATAACGAGCTGAGCTTCATCAAAGCAAGAGTCAACCGCAGTAATAGACAGCCTCTCATCAAAGACAAGCACTATAAACTGGAGGCAAACAAAACTCTCAAGCAGTGCTGCTGTCATGACAGCACACACCAAATAAACATACCAATTGAAAAAACAATATCGCTTTGGACATATAAAACCAATAACGAACATTGCTTAGCCAACTCCATGAAGGAGATTTGGTCCCAGCTACAATATAAAATGATCCCAATAACAAACCCAATAGTAGAAATCAGCTTCCGAGAAAACATGGGATTAGAGATTTGCCTAAACTCCAACACAATAGAAGATATAAAACAGGTCATCAATCTAGATCACCTATTTTCTCAGTTCGATCTGGTGGCAAAAGAGGAGCTGCTGGAGGTACATGGATACAATACAAGCATGGTGTTCCATTCTAACAATCCACAACCAATTAACATTCTCCTAGGAATCCTGGAACTGGTGGGAGCAACAAATGACCGATCATATATTTCAATCAATACGTCCAGAAAAATCGAGTTAAAAGTACCAGAATACTCCAATCAAAGAGTTAAAACACTATACAGTTTTCTGATAAGAAATATTAATACTATTTGTAGTCAAAAAAATATCAAGCTAAGGCTTGAAAAGAACTTAATTCCTCCAGAGCAGCAGGACATCGAAGCAATCATAGGAATTGACAATATAATAGAGCTAACAGTTTACACTACAGGACCAAGAATTAAAAACAAATGGGGTTATAGCCCAGTAACGTGGATCAAAAAAGTACAGCATACCTTCAGACTCACTAACACCACAAATAGCTCTTCAATTGAAAAAAGATAGGACGCTAGTATAAAAATTTCCAATCTTTAGGCTTTAACAAAAGCAAACAAACTTCTCATTAAAAAGGATAAGATGAATTGCTCCTTACTACTAGCCTTCAGGGCAAAAATAATCAGTGGTTTACTTCCCACCAGACAACTCCTTCACGAAAGGTACCCTAACATGTACTAAGACAACTTGTGCCCCAAATGTCTCACCAAGACAGAGACCCAGAAACATATTTTCGAATGCTACAAAAGTTTATCCGCATATAAAGAGATCGAAGTCAAACTCAAAAAAAGCTTGATGAAACTCTCAAGCAAAAGCAACTTAAAAAAGAAGTCAGTCAATGCAAACAGTCAAATACAGAGATTAAATCTAGGAAGGAAGGCAGGATTGAACAAAATTGTGTGCGGAATGACAGAAATAGACTTTCACTTGTCAACAAAGAGCCATGCCAAATTCGCAAATAAAGCCTTAGCACTACTTTACACACTGATTTGGGTACCCAGGTCAGCAACAGCCAACACATCAATAGCTTCAGGAGTTAAATAGAGCGGCCACCCTCACATAATCACAAACAGCAACAGAACCATTATACAAAAGAATTCAGTAAAAGAGCTATCTTTGTTAGAGCTAATTATAGAAGCAATGAACTCACAAACAAACTCAAGCAGCAACTCACTCAAAACACAAACACTTGTATCGGCTCTGGAAGAGCATTAACTATTCAGCACTAAAACTAATTTAAAGTATATTAAGTGTGTTAAGGATAGTGATAGTTAGCATCATAGATAGGTTAATATTAATTTGTGTAATACAGTACATAAAGATATTTGATGTAACTCGAGTATAATTTATATATCAATAAAGTTTTGCATCTGATGCCCTTTTACGATTAAAAAAAAAAAAAAAAAGATTTGATAATAATAATTATTTTTAATTAATTATAATAAGTTTTAAATAATTTTTATTTATTAAAACAAACTATAATCATTAAAATTTTTTTTGAAAATAAAGTTTTGACTAAAGCAAAAATTTAAAAAAATTTAATAATCATATAAAATATTATTCAAATAATTATTTGTATTTTAAAATTAATAATAAATTTAATTTAAATTTATAATATAATATTTAATATTTAAAAATATAATAATTTAACTTAATATAAATAAAAAGTATAATAATAGCAATCATTTAATATTATTTTGATTTAAATTATTTTTAAAGTTACTTTTATATAAGTTAAAAAATATATTAAAAATCAATATTAATGTTTAAAATTTGAAATTATACTATTTATTTTTAAAAATAAATATTCAAAATTATTTTTATTATTTTTATTATTTTTATAATTTCTATTATATCAAATATTTTTATTTTTTTATAAATAAAAAAAAATCAATATTATAGTTGTAATAAATTTTTTAAATATGCAATTATTATTATATATTTTTAGACAATGTTATATTTTTATAAAATCATTAAAAATATATTGTAATTTAGTTAAATATTGATTTTATAAAACATATTTTAATGTTATGATAAATCAATTATAAAAATCATTTAAAATATTGATTTAAATTAAAATCTGAAAATATAATTATAAACTAATATAGAGTGTTAAAAAGATTTTTTTAAAAAAATATGATTATAAAATAATCTAAAATATCAAAAAAAAATTGATTTAATTATTATTATTAATTATTATTTGTTAAAAATTCTTGAATTTTTTGTGAATTTTTTAAAATATCATTTTTGAATTATAATGTAAGTTATTAAGATAAAATCATTTAATTTTACAAAAAACTATAATGTATGAATAATAATTTTTTTAATTTAATTTATTATTATTATTATTATTATTATTATTATTATTAAATCAATATATTTGATGATTTTAAAAAATTAAATAATTTAAATCTTTAATTAAAAAATTTATATAATATTTAATGGTAAGACAAACCACTTTATAATAGAAAATGTTGAGTGCTGTTTTTGAGTTGCAATGAATTATTTTGCTATACAATTAACCGTACGGTTAACATTTTTAAAAAGTACTGTATTGAATACGAAAGTGCAATTTAGGGTTTGTGTACCATTGCCAAGGTCGATTTTCTAACAATAGTTCTGCAAGACGAAAATTCTATTATTTATTGGATAAATATGGTAAAACGAGTTGATTCGGTGTCGATTGTATGCCTTATAAGACAACCTGAGTTGGTCGAGAAGTAACTCAATGTTTCTTTTTTTGTTATACTGCATTCCATCATTTTTTTATTAATCTAATAATAATTTATCATATTAGAGACCATAAAATATTTATGCGATGTCTGATCTAATTATAAGTTCGGCGAGAGTTATGACGTGGTTCGATTCATCCCTTTGACTTTATATATACTTGATATTTAATTAGGATTCTTTTGAAAATTTTCTATGAAAGCGAATCGCACTTGAATTAAAAGCTTGATGTCATATAGCTTGAATATATAGCATGAATAGTATCGACAAGACTAATATTTAGGATAATCAACTAATCCATTTTTGAGTTCTCTTTCATCGTCCAAGTTGAGACGATTTAATTTGTTTGTATTCACAATATCTTGTGGTTGTTAATATACTACCATCACACCTATGTGCATTCTTTCCTTTACACTTTAAATCATTTAATCCTGAATTTTTGTATATCATATCCCCATTATTCGTGCCATTTTATAATTTTAAACAGAAACATCAAAGCCTATTATGAAACATGTGCTTCAATCGATCGCTCTTTTTCGAATAGCAAAAGACTTAAATAACTAGTGAAGCGTTTTTAAAGTTTATTACATAATTTTTGGAAACCAATCCCTTTCGTTGTGGTTTCTATCGTTGAATTTTTTTTTTTTTAAACGCCGCCAAAACTTTTTCAACCATAGATTTTCATCTTGTGATTCGTGAGAACTCCTTGATTATTGGTATTAAACATAAGACTAATGATCCGAAAGGATTTGTTAACACGGTAGTTCGCATTAACGTCAAGAAAAGAACCGATCCATGTACAACATAATGAATATAATAAATACTCCAAGAATATTTTCGTTCTTACTATTCATATTGTACGATCTCATAATAAATGTTAATGCCACGGAAATAACAATAGAAGTAGGAAATAACGCGTTCGTTTTCAGTCCGCAAACTGTTATTGCCAGTATTGGTGATAAGGTATGTATTGCATTTGTGTGAGATAATAGGGTATATTTCGTATTTCATTTGATTATATTATCATGTATACACTTTATCGACGTGTGGTAAAATAGAGAAAGCATTCTTTGGAACAACATACTACAGTACTATCGCTTTATCTAATTACGTGAATTTTTCTTTTTCTCATAGCCTTTTCCCTTTTCGTCACGCATTTAATTAATATTCCTTACTATGTATTCTTGTTCTTAAAAATCGCCTGAAAAATAGATAACTTGGAGATGGCATGGAACCAAATACACAGTAACCGAAGCCGATGCCCAGGGATCTTGCATAAAATCCACAAAGCGGAATGACTGTGTGTTTAAAATTCTAGTTTTTTTTTGCAACGTGCAAAGTCTCTTCATTAACAATTAGTCTATCTTTTTCATCATTTTTGTAATCTTGTATAATGAAACAGTTGATTTCGTCGGACAAGCTAACAATGAGGTACACTCTTTTGTGATCCCTGCGAACTCTCCCAATCGACTTTTCTACTTTGACCAAAACAACTGTGCTAAAGGAATGTATGGCATCATAGATGTCAATTCCATAATTTTCCTACCATCTCCAAAACCAATCCCCACAGTTTCGTCATCATCTCAAAATTCAACCTCCACAGTTTCGTCATCATCTCAAAATCCAACCTCCACAGTTTCATCGTCGTCTAAAAATTTAACCTCCACAGTTTCATCGCTGTCAACCCTCACAGAATCAATATCTCCCACGAAATTAATAGCTTTCACGCGATTAATAACTTCCACGTTAAAACCGAACTTTCCGGCTACAGCCAAACTTTCAAATGCGGGAGGTTCGGAAAACAAGACATCGATAGTAGTAGTGTTAGCAACTATTGGAGTTGTACTTAGTCTAGTGATATGTGGTGCAGCGGTCATGATTTCTCATCGCGGTAAAAAAAAGTCAACCAATAGGTTAAATAACAATGTCCCAGGTATGGGACGGTTCGGAGGAAATAACATTGATAGGGGAGATGTGATAGATGCCAATGAAAATATTTTATCTTCAACGCCGCGGCCCACGGTTTCTACAACGAATAGGAATTTATCATCACATTCTAGAAGTCCTCCATTAAGAAATAACAAGCCAATTTCGCATCCAGTAGAACATGTAAACTCTATGGCAAACATTTCACCGTTTGATGAAATAATGTGGAAAAATCGACCAAGCATCCCGTTGTCAGTTGTACAGAGGAATTCCATGACGATGCCAACGCCGATGAGAAATATACCACCGAATAATACACCACCACATTCGCTATCATTTACGCCAAATGTTTATAGGTACAATTCTTATAGTGATCTGGCAAGAAACTCAAGAAATGAGAGGTTCAGAAGCATTCGTTCAATATGGAACGATCACGACCCAGTAAATAACGAAATGGGAGGTGGTGATAATGTTGTAAGAACACGACCATCGAATAGATCTTTGGCATCGCCAATACCGGAAGGGGGTGATGAAAGAGAGAAGGAAACAGTTCAAATTAATGGTATTACAAGGGTAGTTTCAGATCCAGAGAAGATGCGAAGATTGGTTGCAAGAAAGATGATTTCTCAGATGGATGCGGATCAATAACTTTTTACGTTCAAATGAAGAATCCTTGTTGTATAGGGATGAATACTTGAAATTATGAACTTTTGTACAGTAAATTTTACACTATATAATAATGTCTTTGAAAGTCATTAAATACAAAAAATTTTAAATATTAATTTACCTACACTGAGCGGTTGAAAGTTAGAAAAATTCTCAATAATCACTTAATGAATTAAACATAGAAAGAATTTTATTTATTTAGCGAAGTTAAATGCGAAGTATATACAGCGTAATACTTTGTTAGATAATCATTTGCTTTAATACCTGCTATATTATACAGGTATATATTAATTAGAATATTGGATTCAATTAAAATTTATTTCTATTTTAAAATAATCGCTAATTCAATTATGTTTGAAACCCTTTATACAGTAAAACATTCATAAATGCACAATCTTATTAAGATCTGAACTTTGAGTAGACTAGAAGAATGATAGAACTAATTAATTCTTTCCATTCTTTCATTTTTTATTTTATTTTATATCTACAGTAAATGTATTACTATCTTAAATAAATAAGAAATCATCACATTTTAAATATTTCAAATATTTCAAATATTTTATAGCAGGGATTTAACCAAAAATTTCAATTAAATTTCAAGTATATTTGTATAAATCATTTTTATACTATTTTGTCTTTTTAAAATCCAATTTACAATAGATAAAAATCAATTCACGTTATATTTTTTATGAATTTTCATCAAACTTACTTGTGTAAATTACTTTTAAATAAAAACCATTAGAATTTATTACTACAAAATAGTTTGTTATTTAATGTTGAAAATAATACTAAAATTGATATTAACATATAAAATTTATAATAATATATATATATACTGTATATATATATTTTTTTTGAAGGAGCAAATGGCTATTGCACTATCATTTATTATTATAATTTTAGACTTGTGGGTTACAAGATTTACAATATGGGAAGCATGACATACATCTCTCTTT